GGAAGCAGGTCCCCAGAAGACGGTCCCACGGATGGTCCTAACATTGTACTTGAACTGCGGCTTTACCTACATTTATTCCTACTATCTATTTTCCGTCTTTCTGTTACATTTAACTGATAGAACATCCCAAATTTTCTTTGTTAACTACTTGGTAAAATCCACAAAACTATATATTGTGCGATTATGTTGTACAGCATGATCGGACCACGTAGTTGGTCTTTGTCTCGCACTGTCGACAATTGTATCATTTATTTATTTATCCATTTGATTTAGTTCTATTCAGCTGCTGAGTATGCGTTTATACAAATAAAAAATTTTCTGCCCGTGAGGTCCCGGTTTGTCAATCGAGGATACCAGCTTGTATGTGTGCTTAGGTTAAGAGTGATAAAAATTAAACAAACGGTATATTCCTCGACGCACAATCCAACTGACTGGTCTGGTCAGTATGTACAACGGGATCGCATGGGACGGATAAATTTCTTCGGGTTCTTTTTTCAAATCAGTTCCCAAACTGTTTTGGGGGGGGCTGATTGAACGGTTGCGTCCTTCAATTAGATGGATTGTTTGATAATAATAAGAAATGCAGGAATCTAAACGTTCTAGTAGAGTAATACGGCCAGACGTGGATTCGTCTCTAGGGGACCTGCTTCCATGCAGGCTAGTCCCTCGAAAGATTCCACCCGCACTTCCATGTCTCTTCTGACCGTGTGCTGGTGTGGCTTTAAAGCACATTTTTCATCACCAATTGTACTCATCTTTAGGGTTATTTTTAAGTGTAGATATATGGACATTTAGGTCATATAGCCCGTACTGTCAATCGGCTTTTTGTATCACTTATTATTCGTCAGAGAGTCTATGGCATCCTGCCCCACGTGGGTTCATTTATTGGGTTGGAAGCTAAAATCTGTCACCTCAGGAGATCGACCCAGTCGTGGCCAAAAATAGAGCAAAGAAGAATATAGAATATGAGGAGATAGAAAGATAATCACGGTTTTGGTGATAAATAAGAAATTGTATTTAAATACCGTCAAGAAAGGCCGACGGGTTTCTCGATGAAATTGTGCGGTGGGATCGCCGTAATAGATGGCTGCTCCAATTGTCGATATGTCAGGCAGTTCTGAAAGCAGTCTTCAGGTTGATCCGACAGTTGCTTGTGTTCGCAAACTACGGTATTTGGTATCGCGGAGCACTGAGAATTGCTACCTGCTGTTGGGTTATTGCTCTCAGGAAATGGGAAGAAATATTTAATATTACAAAACGAATGTAAAGAACAGAAAGGTAAACGAGAAAAACGTTTATATCCTAATGATGTGAGATGCGCGTTGAGATTGATCTGGTCGAATTTCTAAAAAGATGGTTGAAAGCAGTTTCCGTTAAAGTTTGTCACAAGAATCGATGCATCACTGGCAGCAGAGGGGTGTAGGGATTGACATTATCGGATATCATGAAGCACTCCGTAGTTTTGTGCTGATATTGATATCGACGCGACATAAATTACGGACCTTGGGAGAACCAGTGTCAACAAAAAACCGGTGATTTATGTACACAATCGCAAGGCCGAAACGAGCCTTGCTGGACAATATGGGAAAAGTGATAATCAACGTGAGGGAGAATAAAGAGGAGAACGGGCGATGAGCTTCTATGTGTGGACAATGATCTCCAGATTTTTAGGCCTCATCATTAACTCAACAGTCTGACACAAAATGCAGCGGAGTAAAAAGATGTCTGGCTTGCGGGTACCGCCTACAATGTAACACACAATGCTAGGCAATCAGTCCAGTTTGAGGGTGCGAATGCAGGATACCGCTTAGTATTATTTCATCACCATCACACACGCCGGCTAAAGGCATGAATACCTCAGCTATTGTGCCGCAATAAGAAAAACGCAAGAGGCACGCCAACTGAGCCACCAGTAACGGATAGGCATCGTTCCGGAGCTACCAGCCAGCTATTAAACCGCAAGGATTATATTACGCCTAGGAAATGAGATCGTGGTTAGTGATGGACTTGGTATTATCTACAAGCGCAGATTCATGTATACACCAGCTTCACGGGCTTGAAATGCGGCACTCCGTCGCCAACATCGCGCTGAACCGTAGTACTACATGAAGTATTCGCTTCATTGCAGAACGTCACACGACGGCCTGACGTATTTTTGTTAGGAGTCCGCAACGGACGAACGCCGTGACACGAGTTGGGCCTACAGTAGGTCTCGCGGAAAGCTGGCTTACTCAGTTCGTCATCCAAGACACAAATTGCTGCGCAATTCAGAGCAGCTGAAGGAGCCAGCTCCTCACTGTGGCGCAAGCGCAAGGTCAGACAGTGGACACCTTTGGCGCATTTGAATGTGACGTCAATTGGCCCACCAGCGCATATTTGGAGCTGAGCACCTGTGGCCTATTAATTTGACCTATTAATTTGCCCCTAATACACTCCGGTCTAGCAGGTCTCGTCTTCTTCGTTTTTCTCGGCTGGTTTGACGACGTCCCGGGCAGAGAGCAGAGTCAGGGCAGCGGCGACGGAGATTTTCAACCGAACCCAGAAACGGTAGTCAGCTCCGAACAATTGTAGGCACATTTACAGTAACAGCAAGCAGAGTTTGAAAAATCACAAACCAAACTGAAATGCTGACCCATAAGCTGTCAGTACAGTCATGCTCAGGTCTAGGTGCTACTGAGCGTCCATTTTCCAGAAAGCTGGAGCCGACAAATCATTGAATTCCATTATAATGCTGATGCCGGTGTAACACTCGCATCCTGGTTCCACAAGTATGAAGATATGCTTCAGGTCGACTTGGTCAGGGTCCCAGAGTAGAAAATTCTCTTTATGCTTCAGAAGTTGGATGCTATTAACATTTAAAGGTCACAAATTTCATTCTGCCAAAGAGGAGCACTAACTTGTCGTTCGATGAAGTCGTTGCAGTTCTCTCACAAATTTTCGATAAACAGCTCTCACTGTTCGACCATGAAAGAAGAAGAAGGAAAACGAGGACTGGGTCAACTATTTAAGCCTTGTGAATCGCGATTACGAACGATCACAGTTATGGGATGACCGGTGACCAGTACAAGTGTCTCATATAATAATGAGTAGTGGAGATTTTGGTATAATTCGGATGCTTTATCACAGCCGTCTCTCGGTCAGCAGGCTTTGGAAAGTCGAAAAGAGCCAGACAATTGGAATATTGGTAGCTCGGGAGGCTTGCTCAGTTGTTGTGGAGTTCTCCGAGCTGGGCAACTTGGTTGCAGACTTTTCGCCACCATTCGAGGTGGCATCTTCACTGCGGGATTGATAGCAGTTAGGTAGCAGTAGCTGGTAGAAAACAAACCCAATAATGGATCCATTATTGGGTTTGCTTTCTACCAGCTACTGCTACTTCACTGCTATCAATCCCGCACTGAAGATGCCACCTCGAATGGTGGCGAAACGTCTGCAACCAAGTTGCCCAGCTCAGAGAACTCCACAACAACTGAGAGCCAGACAACGCTGTTTCGACTTTCTGGGTCTCATCAGTGGTGCGCCTTCCATCAGACCCCTACCGGGTTCCGATCCCGTGACATCCGGATGTCAGCAGCTAGTGCCACTAAGCCATGGGTAACAACCGCGGATCTGCATGATTGACCATTGTTTATGATATTACCCTGCTCATCTCCCACTGCCATGACAGTTACGAACTGTGGAGAGGACAGCAGTTAGCCCTATGAGCTAGGACTTTCCACATAGTAGCTGTGTATGACACAGCACCTACATGCTATACGGATGGATTTCAGACTACTAATGAGTAATGTGGATTTTGGTATAATTTAGCGATAATTCATCACAGTGCACTCTCAGTCAGCAGGCTTTGGCAAGTCGAAAAGCACCAAGTACGCGCCAGACTCTCGAGGGCCGGGGAGGTCGACGGAAACGTTGGCCAGTAGAAGTGTTTGAGTCATCTACGTGGTAGGAAATGAGAAATGGGTCAGGCAAGCCAAACAGCTGAGGCCGAATCACGGCAAGACTCAAATTCACTCAGAACCGCCGTCCCTTTCGTAGGACACACTGATAGACACGTTTGATTTGGAAGACGAAGCTGAGCGGCTACGTGGATCAAAAAGGAATCTGCCAACACCGGATGACATACATTGCAGGCCGACCCGAAAGCGAAGGCCATCACAATGGCTGCAAGTAGACCCTAAGGCGAAAACTTATGAACAAGCTCAAATTCAAACGATACGCAAGCAGACTCCATTTGAAAGAAGGGGTATTAGGCAGCTACGACACGATTACGAGACACGAGTTGTGCTTATAGTAGATCATGCGAAAAGCCTTTCACGGCAAACGAGGGCACGCGACCCAAAGTAGCTAATGGAACCAGTCCATTATCGTGACACGATTTGCTACCGCGCAGGTGTGAAAACGTGTTTACAACTAGACATTAGAAACCGTCAGCACATTTGAAATTGTCTAGATACGTGAAGTGAAGTGGCCCACCAGCGCATAGTCGGAAGTGAGCGCGCGGACTATAAATCTGACCATACTCTATCCCTAATACACTGCAGTCTAGCAGGTCTCGCCTTGTTTTTTTTTCTCGGCTGGATTTGGCGACGTCCCGGGCAGAGTAGCGTCAGCATACTTTGACACAGATTCTGGCCAGCCCTTGCAGCGTAGAAGACGAAACATCGGCTCACAACTACTTTGTATCCTTTTCTAGATCGTGCTGAATCACAAGAGCGTAGCGTCAAGTGCGGCTACTACTCAGTTTGGAGTTTCCTATCCGAAATGACAAGTTACGTTTCTCGAGTTAGATAGCACACCGACATCCTGTAGTTACGGAAATAAGCAGTCCCTTGGATTTTATGCTGAAGATCGACACATCACAGTATCACTACAAGTGTTGTGACGGGTTAGATAACCGAATGACATTTCGGCAGATGATCAAGTCGGTTGTGTAAAGGCTAAACGCGATGATAGGACACTGAACACATGCAACGCGTATACCCTGTGGAGGGATAATAAGACGCTCGGAAATATATGAGCACATGTATTAAAACAATAAGATATGTTCCAATGCTATCTTCGAGCACGATCGACAGATCTGCTACGGCTGCGGTCACGGTTACGATGCCGAGTGGATTGCCTACTCACAGTAGGTCCCTTGGTGAAAGCCCAATCAACGAGCACCTTCTGTCCATGTAGTTCGCTGCCGTTTAACTGTTCCATCGCAGTTAGGGCCTCTTTGAATAATTCATATTCTACTAGAGCGTATCCCTTGGATGGAAAAGATAATAGTTAGGACTACAATATTACTTTTAAATAGCCCGTGCGGCGATCCAAATTAAGATGGATATTTTTTATGTCACCGTATTCGCAAAATTTGTCCCGTATGTCTTCTTCCGTAGCCTCTTCGTGGACATTACGTACAAATATAATCCACCCTTCTACGGCTGATATCGAAATAAAAAGTAATAGCGAAGATTACATCTTTGTGGTCCAGTTCCGCTTTCACCATCCGTTGCCCTTAAGCTTTCGTATCCGCTTTTCGAGGTGTCCACTCCGTCTATTGCAATGCTTTACAAAACACACAACCAACTTACCAACCACAAAACCACGCCCTTTGCGTTTTTTGGCGCTTTCCTTCAGCCTCAGCAGTCCGTCTGAAACGCATGAGATGAAGAAGAATAATAAAAAAGAAGTTAGATATATAACACCCAGGAAGACACAGAGAAAACAAAATACTTATGTATTTGACCTGAACAGAAGCTCAAAAACATTATGAGGAACTGGTAGAAATGTCTGCGGACCGAGTATGGAAGTGAGAAAGTAAGAACCTGAAGTGCTGTACTATTCGCGGTACAAAGAGCACAGAAAGTGCGAGAATCTATCGATGCTGTAAATTGTGGAGTGTAAAACTGGTGATTGGTGACATGTAGTGTTTTAGGCTAACTGCTCATTGCGATCATGTCCACTTAGAACATAGTGGTGGAGAGCCGTTGGATGTGAGCCTGAATGATAGATAAAGTATAATTGGCAGCCAGGTGACACCAGATATGAAATCGCAATTCAGGAAAGTGGGAGACCTTGGTAGAACCTATTGGGATTCCGTATGTGACATGGTTTATAAGTACACCGTCCCAATCCGACTGCTGTGGGTGCACTCAAATAGATATTTAATCTGGACTGCGGAAATCCGACTGTAGTAGTTCTGAAGACATCTGTGGGTTATGGAAGTTGGATTATCTTGGATGAGCTGCTTCTAGCATCAACATTACCACTACAGATGTGCTAATATTATGAAGAGAATACAACAATCAAGGGCGAAACGAGAAATGGGTGCAAAAAGAAGCTGGAGCAAAGGACCGCACATCTTTCCAATGACTTCGACTGGGTGACAGTGACAGGCACTGTGGAACCCAGTTACGAGACAACGAAGCACAAAGTTTAAGAATCATCATCAGCATCAACAACAAGAACAACAGCTATTTGAACTGATGTTTACAATGGCGCAAATAATAGAGAAGGGAAGGGGAACCTAACGTAAAACTTAAATGTCCTGAGTAAACCTACAGTCAAAACGCCTACTCTTTGTCAAGAGCATATAACTGGCTAGTATGCAAAGATAAGGTGGCATTAGTGAGACAGCTTCTGTTCGACATTCACTGCCCCGCGGCATGGTCATCACCATGAGTACACTTCACCTAAGTGTGCTGCAAGCGTCATAATCGGTCATCACTTGCAGTTAACTCAACAAGGGACACCATTTAAACAGTCAGCCCGACTAGGAAGAAATAGTAAATCCGCCACTGATGCCGACTGCGAGCCATCTCCTGTAACGTCTCGAGGCAAACACAAAGTAGATCATGTGAACTCCAGCCACCTGGGAGGCGAGACAGACCCAAAGCATTTAAGTAGGTTGCCAGTGACGTGATTTCCCGCTGTAAAGCTAGCTTTTGCCTACGTCGAATCTTGCATCATACTACATCCGGCAAACAAAACAAGGCTTTCCGTAATAATCGGTCCATCGTGATTTGCGTATCTCAACGGCCCATTGAGCTATGTTGGGTGGTACTGTTTGCACCTTCATACCCACTCATAATAGACCAGTCAATGGTTAGAGACCAGACAAACTCAGTATCCTGGCCCACTGGGTTGAAGTAGGTGTGGCTTTTTACACAGTAAAACAGACTCCCTGTAGCCAAGTACCAAAGCCTTGTTGCCTTGCGGCCAGGTTTTCGAATCAAAGGCTATGGTTGAGGATCTAAATCTTGCCAACCTTACAGTATCCTGCCCACACAATGCGGTGACCGTCCTCAAAAAATTTTCAAATGAGCAGATTCATAAGTTTCAGAGATCACCGAATAATCACAAGTCAATGTAGGCGAAGATATGTTCACGATAACTCTTCATCAGGATGGTACAGTAATATTTATTTATTTATTTAGTAGCTTGTCACGAGGTAGGCCCGTAAAACCTAGGACGCGATGCCTAAGATCGATGTTGTTAACGTGGTGTACCCACTACACACGAGTTATCCTGCGCAGATAACCGTTGTCAAATGCCGAAATCCAACGTAAATCACATGCGCGGATCAGCCAGGACTCACTGCCGTATAACAGGACCGCGCGAACACAGGCATTGTACACCCTGCCTTCTAACGAGAAGGAAACGTCAATACACTACAAATGTCTCAGATCGGACTTTGGTAATACGGATAAGTCTCTCTACCAACAGTGCCATCAGAGGATACACAGCTCCATGGTAGACGAAGCTATCTACTTGTTCAAGCTGCAAGCCTTCAAGTGTCCTGTCTAGGTCTGGGTGCCCTGGCAGTATCTCAGTCCACATACAATCATGACATTTTCTTCAAACAAACTTCATCCTAAATCAGCCGTCAAGGGTCGCCTTATCTGCTGCAAACAGCAGGGCGCATTAGTGAAAACATGCTACTGCTGGCGCCTCTCTTCTTTCTTATCAACCTGTTTCTTTTAATCCTATCCCGACCCCCATTACTTACCTTCTTTCTACAAATCCCAGCGTAATTAACAGCAACCGAAAAGCCAACGGAGTAGAAACATCTGCAGCCACCTTCCCGCAACACCCAACGGACGCTTATCAGGAACAGTCCTTTAAAAGACTAAGTTATCCCGTTTCCCAGGCGGCGTTCAACGTTCAAACTCCAAGACAAATGGGTCAACAGGCTCCACTCGCATGCACTTTGGACACTAAGTATTTAGGTATGTTGTGTGTCCGAAACTAGAATCAAGGACTCTAATGGGGCTGTTGAATTAATTAAACCCTGCTTGTTGCACGCATCCGGAAACACTCAGGTCAAAGCTGAGTCATCCTTGGTTGATTAGATTGAGGTGAACAGCATTTGTGTGAAGCTTGTTTGACGACATCAACCAAAGTTGATTTACGAAGTAGTACAAGACGATGTTTGCTTGTGATTTCCGCTTTTCCTCCCACCGACTGCAGTTCTAATGCTGCCAAGGATACCTTTTGCGACGAACTGGACGCGCTACTACACAGTGCTACTAGTTAAGAGATTAACGTACTTGCAGGGAATATCAACGCACAATCAGGGCGTGCGGGCTGTTCAGAAGCTCAGCTAGGTGGTAATTAGGGGCGTAACACCGACGACGGCGAGCGTCTGCCGCAACTGTGTGCGGAGCACCAGTTGTTTCTTGGTACCACTGCTTTTAGACACAGTGGGCGCCGAAGTGCCACTTGGCGTCCTCCTGTAGCTGGCCAGTGATGGACTCAAATTGACCACATAGCCATAAGTTACAGAGGGCGTGATTCCATCGTGGATTGCCGCTCGTACTGAAGTACTTGTGTCTATTCCGATCATGCCTTGGTACGCTGTCGTTTCTCCATGAACTTTACCGGGAAGCGCACCAAGCCTCCCATGCAATTGGCAACTGAGAAATTGTATCAGCCCTCGGTAAGCAGCAAGCCTATCAAGACGCACTGCGTACCGAACTTTCGCTGCCTTGTCCTAATAACACTGAGCTTCGATGGAATAGGATCACATCCCCTATGCACGGCACAGTAGCATCTGCTTGTGACACTATCCATCGTCACCGCAGCTGGCACTGGATATCCGAAAGGTCAAGGAACCTGCTGGAATTCAAAAGAAACCGTCCGGCTGACTCTGAGTACAATGTGACCAGACGAACTATTAGGCGTGAACGAAAGCGGAACCTGCATACTAACAAGAAAGCCTGGTGAACCAGTAGGGCTCAAAAAATTGAGGAGGCAGGAGCAGTAGGCAATTACCACAAACTCTTCCAGCTGATCCGCACCACTAGTCCCAGGAAACCAGGCGTCAGTGAGACAATCAGAGACAGCGCGAGTGCACTGATACACAAACAGGAGCGCCATATAACTCTTTGGGCGGAACACTTTCAAGATGAGCTCAGTTGGCCCTCTGCTTCCGGACCTGTAGCTAGTCATGTGGTGAGGGCTGAGGCATAGCCGGTTAGTTTAGAGACTCCGAGGCCGTCCCGAACTAGATCATAGCACTCAAACGTTCGCCTGCTGTAAACCCGGAGTCCCACCAACCTGCAGTATCTAAGGATGGAGGTGTGGTCCTTTGTAAAGCACCGCATCCCTATTCTAACGTATCTGGAAGGAAGAGAAAGCTCCAGAGAAACGGAGTGCATCGATTATAGCGGCAATATAAGAGAAGAGCAGTCGCACAGACTGTTCTAGCCACACGGATATTAGCTTAAAGTCAGTTGTGACAAAAGTACCGGCCTCGATTCTAGTTCGTCGCCTCCCCGTGGAATGGGCATCTCGGAATACGGAAGAGCAGTCAGGTAACCGCGCAGGACGTGACTGTAAAGACCATATATTCACTCTGCGGCAGGTGCCAGAGCAGCGCCAAATCATCATCAACAGCAGTACATCAGCCATTTGAACTGATGCTACGGTGTCATACAACAATGAGGAACTATGAAACAAAGAAGAAGAGGGAGAGAATGGGGACTTATCTGAAAACCTTAATGCCTTAAGCAAATGTTCAGGGTCAAGGCGCCTACACCTTGTGTTAACAACATACCGTCACAAACAGCTGGCTATCGTGCAAACATAAGGCGGCATCGGCGAGACAGCTTCCTTGCGGCTTTCACTGCTACGCGTCATAATCAGCCATTACCCCGCAGATAACTCAGCACCAAACACACTTAAACAGGCATTCCGACTAGGAGACGGCAGTAGATCCGATACTGGTGTCGGCTGCGAGCCATGTCCTGTAAAGTCTCGAGCCAAGCAGAAGGCGAGTCACGTGGACTCCAGCCCGGAAGGCGAGACGGACCAACGGCACCCAGTTTCGTCGTCAGTGACTTCATTTCTCGCTGCCAAGTCAACTTCTGTCCACCTCGAGCTTTGCGCCACCCTACACCTGGTATACTGAATAAGGCCCACCTAGGTAAGCGGTGACCAGGCGTACGTAGCACGTGCTCGAGTCAACGCAACTTATTCAGTGCTGTCTGTTGTTCTAAGGGCCTAGCATGATTATCACTACCTAGCATTCGTCTACGCACATCATCGTTGCGGACACGCCGGTGCCATCCGACAACAGGAATGCTTCGCAGACAAGGTTGATCGAAGACTTGAAGGCGCCTCAGATCTTCAGACCAAAGGGGCCATGTCT